AGATAGATAGAAATGTAGAAATGTGAAAAGAATACAGAAATATATGTGTGGTAAGATATAGATAGTAAATTTATATGAATATATATGGAAAAATAAGATAGATAGTTAGATCGATATACAAAGAATACAGAAATAGATAAGTGTGGTAAGATATAGATAGTAAATTGATATGAATATATATGGAAAAATAAACAGGTATAGATAGTTATAGGTATGAATATATCTTGTAGATATAAATATGTAAATAGATATGAGTAAATATTATAGATGCAGATATGTAACTAGATATGAATAGATATTGTAGATATGGATATGTAAATAGATATAATTAGATATGTAAACAGATGGAGATAGAGAGATATAAATAAATATGAGTATTTGTAGATGGAGAATGCGATCAGAGAACTAGAAATGCGAATTCGAGGTACAAGATAAAGAGAGGAAGACTTGAGTGTCCTTACACAGACAAATACAACTGGTGCCCATTCGGAGCTGTGTTTGTTCAACTGTATCTCAAGCTTTTAGTCTTATCGCAGGAGACAGAGCGATGAAAGCAAGTTCTCTAAAGGTTTGTGGGAGTTCTACTTAAGATTGAAGTTGTATGAAACTCTGTAATGATGTGTTTGTTTTGAATCAGTCTAAGGTAGGTCTTGATAGCTTCATTTCATCCTTTGCAATATGGTGTCAGTGGATGTTGCTATGTAAATGCTTTATGGATTATTGTCCTCGTATTTTCCCCCCGGACTGTTTGGATATGTTGGGACTAGGTGCGTCATACCCCGAAATACCAGTTGTGTAGTATTCCCCATTTCATGTACCTTTCCGACGTCGGGGTACAGTGATATTGGACTTCCTTGTCGTACCGTAGCCTCCCTTTGTGTTAGGCCGCGACTCATCTCAGAGACACGCCCTAATATGACCCCCTATGCCCCAGAAGCCCTACCCACGCCCCCCTTCACGCCCACGGACCCATACACGAGCCTTACATGTGTAGAGCTCCTACACGTGCCCCCTCTCCACGTCCATGGACCCCTGTACACACCATACGCCCATGGACTCCTACAATGCCCCCGCCCCACGCCCATGGACCCCACATTCCCCCCACACGCCCACGGATCCCTACACACGCTCCCCACCCCACCCCAGCCCCTGTTCCTACACAAGGCCTCCGAAGGCGCTGTCTCGTCTTTGGTCCCGAGGATAATGGGATGTGTGACCCCAAAGCCTTTTTCTTAATTCCCCGGAGCAGCCACGTTATTGCGGCCGCTATCGGTGTATCGACAGACAGGGAGGAGGGAGGGGGTGGAGGGACGGGGGGGGGAGAGGGGAAGGGGCTGGGAGGGATGGAGGTGGAATGGGCGCGGGATGGAGGGAGGGTGGAGAAAGGGGGAGGGGGCTGGGGGAGGGATGGAGGTGGAATGGTGGCGGGATGGACGGGGGAGGGTGGGGAAAGGGGGAGAGGGGCTGGGGAGGGATGGAGGTGGAATGGCGGCGGAGATAGACGGGAGGGTATGGGGAAAGGGGAGGGGGCTGGGAGAGGGATGGAGGAGGGGGGAGAGGGAAAATGACGGTAGGGGTGGGAGACAGGAGGAAGGACAGGAGTGTCAGAGAAAAGGGGGAGGATAAGGGGAGAGGAAGGTGGGGGTGAGAGATAGGGATGGCTGAGAGAGCGAAAGGGGGAGGAAAGGAGAGAGGAGGGAAAGGGGGACAGGACGAGAACAAGGGGAACAAAGGAAGAAGAGAGACAGAGAGATAAGGGGAACAGAGAGAGAAGAAGAGAAACAAGAAAGAAGAAGGGACAACTCGAGAAGAAGGGAAATCGAGAGAGAAGCAAGGAAATAAGAAAAGGAGAAAGGAGACAAGGAGAGACGAAGAGAAACCGGGAGAGAGAAGCGAAACATAGAGAGAAGAAGGGAGAAGGGGCCAGGAGAGAAGAAGGGGGGGCCAGGGAGAGAAGAAGGGGCCAGGGAGAGGGGGGGGTGGGGTTGTATTTCCTCTCACTGATAAAGAGGGCAAGGGATCGACCCAACCTCGCATACTTTGTTCAAGCTCCACGAGGTCTGCTTGATACGACACCCCACAGTGACGCCGGCGAAGTTGGGGGGGGGGGGTAGGGAGTGGTGTGTGTGTGTGTGTGACAGGAGTGTATGTCTTGGTCTTGTCTGTGTGATGTGTGGGTTTGGGTTGGTTGTTGGTTTGTGTGGGTTGGTGGGGTGTTGATGTGTGTGTGTGTTGTATTTGTTTTGTTGTGTTTGTGTGTATGGTTGTTTTATTTGTTTTTGTGTGTGTGTGTGCGTTTGTATTTGTTTTGTGTTGTGTGCATCTATGTGTTTGTGTGTATGTGTGTGTATGCATCTATGTGTTTGTGTGTGTGTGTGTGTGTGTGCATCTATGTGTTTGTGAGTGTGTTTTTGTGTGTTTATGTTTCTGTTCGTGTGTAGGAATGCGTGTGTGTTTGTATTTACTTCTATGTTTATGAACGTGTGCGTGTGGGGGCGTTTGTATTTGTATTCGTGTGTGTATAAATATATGCAAATGACCCGCATTCATATGAGAGTCAATATCTGCCTGTATTGCTTCTCCTGCTTTCCCACCCAAAGGTTTGCATCTGTATAGAAGGCAACAAGCTTATTACCAACATAACAAGGTGAGCACAAACTAAGAAAAAGAGAGATAAAGAATAATCCAAGATAACACGCGAAGCACAAACTAAGAAAAAGAGAGAAACCAAAATCCAAGATAACACGGAAAGCACAAACTTAGAAGAAGAGAGACAAAGCAAAATCCAAGATAACACGGGAAGCACAAACAAGCACAAGAAAAAAGTGAGGGAAAGCAAAATCAGAGAAAGCACAAAGAAAAAGAGAGACAAAGCAAAATCCAAGATAACACGGAAGTACAAAGAAAAAGAGAGACAAAGCAAAATCCAAGAAACACAAAAGAAAGAAAAAGAGAGACAAAGCAAAACCAAAGATAACACGGGAAGCACAAACAAAGAAAAAAGAGAAAGCAAAATCCAAGATAACACAGAAAGCACAAACAAAGAAGAATATAAGAGAGACAAACCAAATTCTGCTGCAAATCTAAACACACAACAACCAAAAAAGATTCATTTCACCTTGAATTACACCTTCTTGAACCCTTGAAATATATTCTTGAATTCACTACACACAGAAACAGGAGACTAGAAGGCTGTATTGCAATGAATGACCAAAGTTATCGCTCCATTTGTAAACATCTATTCAACCTTTATCACTCGATTTCACGAACGAATATTTCCAGAACCCGAGGAAGGTCTATCAAAAAACTCTCTTTCTTTTTTTTCATTGTCTTTTTTTTCCGTTTTTTTTTCTTTCTTTCTTTCTTTCTCTGTATATGCTGTTTATCTGTCTTTCTTTCTCTGTTTTTCTCTGTCTTTCTCTGTCTTTCTCTTTCTTTCCTTCTCTCTCTCTCTCTCTCTCTCTCTCTCTCTCTCTCTCTCTCTCTCTTCTTCTCTCTCTCTCTCTCTCTCTCTCTCTCTCTCTCTCTCTCTCATTCTTTCCTTCTTTCTTTTATTACACACCAGTTATCAAACAAAAGACGAACACGACCGGAGATTGTGGCGACCTTCCTGACGGCGAGGTCGAAGGAGGTCAAAACACCCCGACAGGAGACGTTGTAAGCCCCCTCCTCAACCTCCAACCTCCTTCAGCCCTCCCCCCCACTTTCCCCAACCTCCCTAGCCCCAAACCCCTCCTTCCTCACCCCAACCTCCAACCTCAGTCCCTCCCCTTCTCCCTTCCCGGCCCCCTCCACCCCCCTATACTATACCCCTTCTCTTTCTCTTCTCCTCCAACACCCCTCCCTTCATCCCCAGCCCCATTCCCTTCTCTTCAACCCCCTTCCCTCCTCATTTCGTTCACTTCCAACCCCTCCTTCCCCTTCCCTTTTCCCAACCTCTTTCCCCCTCCTCCCCTATTCGTAACACCCTTCCTTCCCCTTCCCTTCCCTTCCCTTCTCTCCCAACCCCCTTCTCCTCCCCTCCCTCCTTCTCCCCCAACCCCCTTCCCCGTCCCTCCCCCTTCCCTCCTCTTCCTAACACCCTTCCCTCCCCTTCCCTCACCCTTCCTTTCTCCCCCAACCCCTCCCCCTCCCCTCCCCCTTCCCCCTTCCCCCCAGCCCCCCTCCCCCTTCCCCTCCTCCTTCACACCTCCAAGCAACAAATGCATACCACCAAGGGCATCCCCGCCGGGTAATACATACGGTTTATAAAGTTCGTCTCGCGTAGAATGCCTGCAATTGCAATATCCACGTGGCTTGGCTTAGATGTTTTCCCCGCTGGCTGGCTTGACCCGACGCGCCGTGAGCCGACTTTGAGCTCGCCACTCGACGTGCTGCAATTAGGTCAGGGCCGGCGCCGGCGATGAGGGTCAGGTGAATCCGGTGGCATTCTGACGCGCGCTGGAGGTGGCACTCTTCGCTCGCTTCTGAGGGGTTCTCCTGCTCTGCCGCCCTCGCGGGTCGTGACGATTGCATGTTGCTTGTCATGAGGCGCTATGTGGTTTCCTGCGCGAGTACTATAAGGGGGTGTCATACTAGCACTATGTGGTTCTTTCCCGTTTGTGTTTTTTTTTTGTTTTTTTTTTTTTTTTTCTTTTTTTTTGCTACCGCTGGCATATTGGCCGAATGCGATAAATTCCAGTCAAACGATAATTATCTTTTTCGCTGGCAAGTTTCCGTGTTTTTTTCGTCCAAATCATAAGCTATAATAGATAAACGTTATAGTAATGTAAAATATATATATATCTATAATATAAAACGATTCAAAAAGACAGTCTAAATTGTAAATAATATTTAAAAATTGGCAAAATTCTCTCTTGTATTTAATAATAACAGATACAAGTTTGTAACTAGCTGCTCGCCTGTTTGTTTACATTTGTGCCCACGTTCCCCCGTCAGCTGACTCGATGAGAGTAGCGAGAATACGCCCTTATTTAGCATTATACATCCGTTGTTTCGCA